TCTTTGTATTAATAATTATAACAAACTAGTGGAGTAATTTCACAAAATATAATTGAATATGAATTCAATAAAAATTTAATTAAAAATTTTTTTGTTACAACTTTACTATTTTACAATACATTTTATCATTAAAATTAATAATAAATAACGATTCTTTTGATGTACAACAGCAAGGAAACAATTTGTTAAATTTGAATATTGAATATTTTTATAACCTTGTTCCCTGGACTTTGTTGAGCAGTGTTTTTTAAACGTTATAGACCGAACTGCCTTGCTTAATGTGTTTAATTGAACGAAATACGATACAAAATGTGCATAGCAAAATTGTTATCAATTAGATATAGGCGCCGAATTAACGAATAGTTGATATCAGTCAGTTCCGATAGTGTAAGTGTACGGTGCTTGCAGCGCATTCGAGGAATACATTTCGAAAAGTGACAGCGATCAGCAGTGAATAGATTTATCTATACTTCGACAGCAGGCCATGTCATATGCAGAATTGGATGAAAGCAGTACTGACGACGAGAGTTTTGAGAACTGCCACCTAACAATTGCAATGGATAAATCATCGAAGAAAGTTTCAAAGTCCAAAGTTTGGAGGTGTTCTCGCAAAGGCCAACCTCAGACAAGTTTGAACGTATTTCACCGTCATGCGCGGCATACAGAACCGCACCAGCCGTTACTGGTGTTGGATCCAGCTGCCCTCCAAGACGAGGCAAGAATGACGCCGTTCGCTGGCACTCTCAATATAGAGAACTCTGAGGTACATGTTGGCCCTGATGTAACCACGATTAACAATACGATTTACGAACCTGTTATGGAAGGTAATATTTTGCCAAACTTGCGTAATCCATTTATTTTATTATTCAGAAGTTTCTCATCAACCAAACAATTTTTTCTGGTAAACATGCATCACTTGTAACAAACAGATACATAACACTAATCACCATAAAGATAAGTTAGTAACGATAGCTACTACTTTCTCAGGCATGTTCTGATATGACATTATTAAGCACTTGAGTCATTTTGAAAAAACAAAAAACTGTTGGTTTATTATACAACATAATTATATAAAGTGTTGCAGCAAACCCCGAAACTTACCTAATAGTACCTACAACTGAAATTTTACTAATAGATTTTTGATAATTAGTAGAGTGTACTGTATGCTAAGTCAAAAATTGTGAATTTTATAGAAATACCACCTAGCTGCCTGAGAAAGACAACTGTCTTTGAGAGGGTGTCATTTTCTATAATTTCTCTTCTCATACTTTTCTGCACTGGCCTGGGAATCTACTACTTAATTTTATCACAAGTTCGTGATGATCAACTGTACGGTAAGTTAATCCAATTTTACTTAATGTGAAGATTTGTATAAACTGGGGAGGGTATGGTAATGAAAAGGAGGCCTTTAGGCAGAAAAAAACTATTTTTTGGAGGTGAAAAAATCAAAACAAGAAATCAAAAGCAGCACAGATAACGATAAAAAGAATTTATTTTTAAAAAGCGTAATATCTGAAAAGATGCTTTGTTACACTTAATTAAGGGTTTCTTCTATATTCTTTTTACGTTCTTTTTTACATAATCAGCATTAAAAAGTGAAAATTGAAAGGAGCTCCAAAAAATTATACGTAAATTGAAAACTTTTCCTTACTGACAGATCCAAAAACATTTTACGTCAGTCGCGCTAAGTGGATGGCTTCTCCCGTCATCCCACATAACAATATTTCGTTCAGGAAACAGTACCAGCCGGCGCAGCTGGTCATTATTCAGAATTCAATTACCACCGCTTGCCACAACTACGTCGCGTGCTGCGAAGCAATGCGATTGGAGCAACGCATAAAAATACGCCTTAATGAAGACACACCGTAAGTACTTTGTACATTTCATTTAGTCAATTAGGTACACGCATTATTCCATCCATTACTACGAATATCTTTCAACTGTGGGGATTAAATGATCTGTCCCACTTGACCAAACTATATGGACCAATTGATATTCTTTTGCGATCTAAGAAATGTCCGAATGGTAAAAGTTGTTCGTCGTAATCATTCTCGTTCGGGTGTATTGTAACTGACACCCTTTATACTCATTATCCCAATGTGACGTTTTTTTAGTATGAACAAAAGTTCAAAATCCAAAATACATAAAAATGTTGTGTAAGCATACTCCAATTAGAGATTAAGTGATCTACGCATCATTCTATCATTTCTTTAGGTACATAGTTATAAAGTCACACACATTTCCAGGTATAATTTTTTTATTGGCAACGACGGGCTCGTGTACGAAGGCATGGGGTGGCTCTACCAAGGCACCCACAGTGAGCAGTTCGACCCTTGTGTTATCAGTATCGGATTTATTGGTGAGACCCTCTAACTAACTCATCAGCTCTATTGAAATTTAGATCTTACGCGGCAAGTTTGTAAGCAGGACTTGGCAAAATACGTGATACGTTTTAAATTACAAAATACTTTCATGAGTTGTACCTAATGAAAACATAAATAAGTACACAATACGGATTTGTAACCACTAAACGATCACCACGAAACTATCTATTTCAAATATTAATTACAAAGTACGTTTTTAAGTAATAACTGGACTAGTGAAGCTATTGATAGTTGGTTATACTCGGATCGATTATGGTATTGACAATGAAATAAAATTATGGGGCAAGTTGAAAAACGGTACAACCTTGGTATAACTTGGTATATTGCTGTTGCAGTTTATGTTGCCCTAATGTATTTCCACCAACATCTAACTCACTCGAAATACGAATATTTTTACCAGCTGGCAAAACCAACATCTAAACATTGTCCAAAAGGAGTCTAAATTAAACAACAGACGTTATACAACAATAATCATTATAATTTTTACCTAGAATTGGTATCATTTGTGTCATTGATATTCATTTTCAATATAAACTAAAGAAAAATTCACTTATATTTCTGTCATGGAAGAAAAAAAGCAATGAAGGTGCATTTGCAAACCGCTGTCGCTAAAACTCACACATTCAGAATTTTAACAGTTTGAAATCTTGATAATGACTGGTCGTAGTTTCTAATTTAAAAAGAAATAACAATTTCTGGATTGTTAATATAATTTAAATTTTACCTTACTCACTATCGTCGCATTTTACGACGTTTTGATATAATACTGAAATTGAATTGAACTGAACGACGACGAATTCGAGATGTTTTCTTAGCAATGAATTTATTAAAATTAAATAAAATAAGACTTAACAGTGTTTTTCTCAAAGCTGTGATTTTTACGCGGCGTGGTCTAAAGTAATAGCATAAGTTGCCAAAATAGATATGTAATATTTTTTGTAGTCAAGTATACCTAAATTTTCACCTGGAGCCACTAAAAAAAAATCCTACGTCGACTACGTTATAGTATACTTATAATTTTTTTTAGTACTGATTTCTAATTTTGGTGACGCGTCCACAACCCGTGTCTGAAACTTGTTTTCATGATTGAAAAAAAAAACCGAACCATATTTAAAAAAAAAAAAACAGGTGTACCTGTATTCTCAGTGAATATTACTGTCTGTAATTAAATAAATTATTAATTAAACGATCTAATGTAAAGTAATATCGTACCAAGAACAATCGTCCGCGGGGGAGCCTAATTTCGGTGAACAATTTTAAATGCTCACTAGCAAACACTGTAAACTTTGGAGAACTTTACGATCACTACCTCCCTTCCCCTCCGTCTTCTTTCGATCTCCGTCCGACATCAGTCCGAAATAGTTACTGTCAAATAAGCAATACTGATGATCGGTTGTGCGGAGATCGTGTTGCTTTTCGCGCCACAAAGGTAGGGACTAATACTTGGTGACATGGGGGCTAAAACTGAACAATTTTTGTGATCGAGGAAACAAATAAGGTTTCAAATTATGCTGTATGCATTTTGAATGTTGATTTTGGGTATCTTTGATATGCTATAGTTAATGTTGCCTTAATTTAAATAGTGTGTTTTTTAAAATAACATTTTGCTAATTTTCTAATTTTGGTGACACGATTTTAGTGATTTTGATGATTTATCTGTGTTCACCAAAATTGCAACTTACCGCCAAAATTAGAAAGTAAGTAGTGTTTTTCTGTTTTAATAAGACTGTTGTTGGCTACAAACCAATGATATTGGAAAACAAATTAAAGTCCATTTAAATTATAAATTTTCTATTTCTATTATAAATATTTTTACCGACACAGAAAATTTATAATCATGCAAAATAACGACATTTTTTCATACCAAATGTAAGTACGCATTTGACGTTCATCTCACAGTGACGATGAGGTCGACGATGGAGCATGCACACCTAAATATTGCCTATTTACTCTCGCCTTGAAGGCCCAAGTTATAGCATTCAGGGAATAAGTCTGCAGGCAGGGAATTCCACTCCATGGCAGTTTGCCATATAAACGTGGAAGCGTAACGCTTCCGAAAGCGGAACCCAAGCCTACGCCTAGTCCCCCGGTGAAGGCGAAGACAGAATAAAATCGTATAATTCCAGTATAAAGCAACTATACCGGTGCGAAGTAACGCCTCACTCTGGAAAGGATGCCAATCTTCCTGGATGCATTTTTGGCCATGGATTCAATGTATCTGCCAAAGTTCAAATTGGAGGAAAGGTCTAAGGCCTAAGTAGCTAGAGACAGTCTGAGACAGCTATCGGTGTATATCACGAAAAGTTGGAGTCAGGCCAAAGGAACTCCGTTTTGTGGAGAATAGACACGCTTGTGTTTTGGTAGCATTTTGACAAGATTGGTATCGCCCCAATCGGAGACCTTAAGTGTCAAATCCAAACGACTAACCATGGAGTCTCGACAAGACTAGATGTCCTCTCCATTGACCCTTGCATTGGTTAAGTACCTACCTACAACTGTGCTGTCGGCAGCATACGCAAAAGCACCTGGAATTAACATATCATTGATGTGCCGCAGAAAGAGAGTTGCAGTCAATACGGTACCCTAAGGAACTCTAGCATCAATCGCCCCATGTTCGGAACAGTAGTTCTAAGTAAAAGTAGAAGTATTAGTTCGAAGGCCACTCGAAAACTAACGTTTCCTTAAGAAATCCGAGATCCAATTGTAAAGGTTAGTCGGAGGCCCACAAGAGGGAAACTTGCTTAAAAGGCTTGCGTGCCAGACGCTGCCAAAGGCTTTAGAAATGTCCAAAGACACTGTAAGTGCTTCGCCTTGCTTTTCTATAGCCTCGCTCCTATGTGACAGGCATACAACCACAAGACAAGATCCACAGTAGATCGCCCCCGCCGGAATCCAATTTGGCAATCACTAAGGAGGTCATTGTATTCAAGGCGCGACAGGAGACGGTTGTTGAGTACAACTTCCATAGTATTGCATACAATGGAAGTGATGGAGATAGGTCTATAGTTGACAGGGTCAGCTCTGCTTCCTTCTATCGGCATAGGTTGCACGTTTGCTAGCTTCTACGTTTGCAAGCTTCCACGACCTGGGAACTACATCAGTCTCTAGTGAGCGGCGATATAGTCATGTGAAAACAGGAGGCAACTTCGGCGCACAATTACGTAGGACTATTACTGGACTATTACTATTACACGCAAAATAGGCGCTTTGTCGTCGAGTTGCGGAAACCAGCCCGTTGCACCAAGTACCAAGTACTGGAATTCCATCTGGCCCACGTCCAGACTCCGCAGATATAAGTACCTCTTTTTGGCGTATGCGAACTGGTGTCATAGTGAAGCAAGCCTGAGGTAAGGTAATTGGTAGGTTCACTGCGGCATCCGCACGCGAAGTCTCTGCAAAGAGTGAGGAAAAAGATACGCCACCTCTTCCGCAGTATGGATCAACGAGCCATCCGCCTTCAGCAGAGGTGGTAAAGATGGGCGACATAAGTTAGTTTCGACCGCTTTGGCTAGGGACCAAAAGGATTTGCTAATTGCTGTATAAGAGGCAAGCTTGGCTCCTATACAGCGTTTATGGTCAAACTTTGCCTTACGTAACACGTTTTTGCACTTCTTGGCGACCTTATTAAAAACATTTATCAGATTCCGAGTGCTCGGATCTTTGCATAGTCGGGCGTCTGCCCAAGCTTGGTACGCGGACTACTTTTGTGCAACAGCACGGCTACAGTCAGCGCTAAACCATGGCCGAGCTTGGGGACCATGGGGTACCTCAGAGTATGGTTTGTAATACTCCATACCCAAACGCAAAACTTCGACTACAGCATCAGCGCAACTCGATGAGTCTTCTGAAGAAAAGCAAGCCTTCCAGGGATATGAAGCAAAGAAATGGCGCATTTCGTCCCAATCTGCCAACCTGTATCACCACACCCGTCTCACACCACTAAGGTTCTGATCGGGTGGGAAGTATACGGATACAGACAATGGTCGGAAGTACCTACCTAGTGGGGCATCCTTATCACATAGTATCGTTCTGGATCAGTTGTTAGCAGAAGGTCCAAGCAATTAGCCGTATGAGACTCAATATCTAAGATCCTGGTCTATATGGCTATAAAATATTCTTTCTGATTTAATTTGTGTTTTTTATTTATTTATTTATTTATTTATTTAATAGTTTATTGTACAGGAAAAATACTACAAGTCACAAAGAATACAAGCGAAATTAAAAACAAAAGGTTCTGCTTATTTCTAATAGAAATTTCTTCCTACAGACGTAAATACAGGACACTATAACTAAAAGAACGGGCACAACAAAACAAGGAAAAAAATAAAATAAAAATAATATAATAATATTAAATTGTTATAAATTGTAATTGTAATATCTAAGATATGGATGGAATAGTAGATAAATAATGCTCCTTAACTCTCACTTTAAAAATAGCTAACGATTTACTTTCGTGAACAGTAATAGGAAGTGCATTCCAAAGTCTGACCGCATGAACAGTGAAGGAGTGAGAATAGAAACCGGAATTGAAGCATGGAAAAGATAACTGGGACCTAACAAGAGAGCGACAGGGTTTATCCTGGGACCTAAGGAAGCTGAAACGCTCTTTCAAGTACCCGGGAGACACAGGGTTATGTAAAATATTGTAAAGAATGGAGACAATATGCAAATTCCTGCGGAGACGGATGGGAAGCCATTTGAGTTGACTGCGGAATTGTGAAATTCGGTCATATTTACGAAACCCAAAGATGAACCTTATACATAGGTTTTGCAGTTGTTCAAGCTTATTTAGCAGTTCTTCAGTAGCATCTAAATAGCAGGAATCAGTATAGTCTAAGAAGCGCAAAATAAGTGTTTGGACTAAACAAATCTTGGTTTTTAAAGGTATAACGTTTTGGAGGTGCTTAAGTGAGTGCAAGGGGAAATGGACTTTACGACTGACTTCATTAAAATGTGGAGTTCAAACCAAATTACA